TTCTTGAAGATGACATTAGAAATAATGATGCTTCTAGAATCCTTGAACTCAACAAGATTTGGTCTAGTGAACTGCAAGGTTCTCTGTCTCCACATGTTCCACCACACATCACCTTGCCCATCTATTGTCCCATTCTCACCTGAAAATGATGATCAATTCATCAAAACAATATGCAAATATATAAAGCAATTTGAAGAGCAAGAATTTATACATTATATACATACCAGTAATAATGACATCATGGAGACCATCTCCATGGATGAAGCTCATGTACCTTCCACCTGGACGTTCTCTTCCTCTTCCATAAGAAGGCAATGGAGCAATAAGAGGCCAGTTAGTTGTGTCCTGAACATAATCACAAATGGATAATAAAGTTAGTTACAATCATATTATGTTCTACTATTTGCTAAATAAATAACTTTACAGATGAATTGTTTAATATAATAAAGTATGTCTTCAATATAGCTGTCAATATTGATTTTGCACATGCGATTGGTCCCACATTGCAAATATAGGAACCCACTAAACTTACCATCAGCCCTTCTGTTTTCCGAAATAAGTTTTGCTTTGTGGTCCCTAATAAATTAAACTTTTTGCTCCTTTAAGAAATCATTAACTCATCATAATGGGCAAAGTATTATACTATTATTCTCAAAACACAACATTACTTCAATTAGCAACAATGCAAAATAACTACAAACTGTTTTTGGGAACTATATTTAATAGTATCGTCTCCAAATAGCAACAATGCAAAATAAATACAATTTGTTTCTGGACTTGTGGATGCACTGTGAAACTACAATTGGAAGAACATTAAGTAATTGTTTTTCAGATATGCAGAGATTGTTGTTTTCCTTTTGTTTTGTAGCAAATTAAGCCCGTTGGCACAAAACTCAATAAATAACACCATAACTTGACAAATTCAACAACTCATTTCAAAAAAAGTACATTAAAATCAATGAAAAGACAGAGTATAGACAAATTATTGCAATGACTTCCAATTTGAAGTATTCCAGCTACTGAAACTTGTTTTAAGGTACAAAAACTGTGTTTGAGTTGCAAATCTGTATGTAGATTTCTGAGATTTTTGCAAAAAAATTAAAATGGATCTGAGTACCTGTGTAGCTTGGATAACAGCGCCTTTAGCTAGATACAGAGTCATTCGACTGGTAAGATTGAAGCTCTCTGTTAGATAAACACCAGGAGGAATGTAAAGAAGCGTCCCTCCTCTCCTCTTCAAATGCTCAATCCGGTAAATCGCCTCCCTGAACGCTTTCGTATTCAGCGTTCTACCATCTCCGACAGCACCAAAATCAGTTATTGAGATCTTATCGCTCCGGTATGCCATCGGCACAATTCCAGAACAAGTAACCAATCCAGCCGCCGAGCAGGAGCACTGCAGGAACACTAACACGGCGGCGAAACACGTAATTACATCCCAAACTCCTCCGTGCTTCATTTGTGGTCACTAGGTTGAAAATTGCAGCTGTTTCGATGATATCTCCTCCCTGAAATTTGGTAAAGTAAATGGGTAAATCGGAAAATGACGAAATTAATACAACGAAAAATGAAAGAACTACACTTGAGGTGTGAGATTGAATCCAAACGAGAAAGAAGAAAGTAAATTCGAAGACATTCATTGTGTACGTGAGCAGATCTATGAATATTTTACAAGGATAAATCATAAATGTCTGCAACTTTGAAATCATAGAATAATATCAGCATGAGTAATTAATTCAAAACAGCGAATCTAATTTATTCTAAGGAAGCAATGATATATATGTAGGTAGATAGCGAAAGAGGCTACTTACAGGGGCTGTGACGGCGAAGATACGGCGGTGATGCGGTGGAGCTACGACGCAGGAAAATGGTTTGTCTGGGAGTACTCGTCCTTACTCCCTCCTGCTTTTGCTTTCGTGAGGAGCGACTGAGGAGTGAGAAATAGCTAGCTACCGACAGGAGCACGATGTTTTGTAATTGTTTTGGCATTTTTTATCGCGTGAAAGCGCGTTACCTTGCGATATTCATTGAAAGTGAATAAATCATTTTAAGTAAGTTTCTATTCATCTGAATTTATTACTAAAATTATCTTAAAGTGATAAATAAGGCTTAAGGGAGTGGGAGGCGCTAAGCCTCGCCACTACCCTCGCTAGCAGCTCGCTACACCACCCCCAAGTTATGCCAAGAGCCTCGCTAAGAACATCACGCCAAGGAACTAGCGAGAGGAGAGGGAGAGAAAGGCTTGTTGTCGATTGGTTCTCATATCTTTGATTGAATTCCACAATTTGAGGTTCTGGTTTTTTCCCCCAATACTCAAAAGGGTTTGCCTCTTCTTCTTCATCTTCTTCTTGTTCTTGATTTAGACCAACTTCAACGGACCGACAAAATGGTGATTTTCCGGCCAAATAAACCTCAATCGGCCAAATAAACCCCAATCAACAGCTATCTTCGACACCAATTTGAGAGGGGAAACTGAAACGGAAACGGGAAACTACAATTGGGATATCGAATTGGTAGTTTTAATCTTTTCTTTCCTTTGATGACCGAAGTGCACCTCGCTCTAGATTTTGGAGATGGAAATTAAAACGAACTTGGGAAGAGACTTTTTTTTCTTGTTCTTGCAATTGAAATAAATGGGGAAAATGACTCTTTAGGGTAATTAACTTTTGCGTTTATACTCATTTGGTCTCTTTCCTTTTTTTTGTATTCAATATACCATCGAACTTGTTGTTTGTGTTCATCATAACCATTTTGACCGACTTTTGACCTGTGATAGCCGGTCAAAGGGTTATGGTGAACACAAACAACAAGTTCGATGGTATATTGAGTACAAAAAAAAAAGAAAGGGACCAAATGAGAACAAATGCAACAGTTGGTTACCCTCCTGATTCATTTTCCCTTTACTCATTTACAGCAAATCCCACGTCATCTCCTACTGATATTAATGACTTTATGAGATTCATTATTGCCTCTCTTCAAAACATAACCCACGAAAGAACATTATTCATACATGTACAACTTTGTAATGCACTTGAATATTTTATTAGGGGAATCTTGACTAAGTAGGCGCATTTCATGACTACATTTACATTTCCAATCAAATGATTTATCGTATCATGGATTTTAGACAAGTCTACAAACGAGTGGAATCAAAGTGCTGTGATTTTTGAGTTTACTTAGTTTTAAGATCGAATTCATGG